GGAGGATGATTCAACTGCTCTCCCTAAGCCAAACTTCCTCTCTTGGGGAAAGCCAACTTTGTCGAATTCATTTTTTTAAACCCGCTCCCTCCTTCCACGTGCCAACACGGGGCACACCACCCCCACCACCTCACTGTACTTGATGGGCATTCAAAGTGAAACAATCGGGTTGATCGATGACCCCAGAACTCGCTGATTTACTCTCGTAACTCGCGGTCAGTTGCCTCCTTGTTCCTCTTCTATCGCCACTGGCACGGCTCCTGTTCGTGTGAACTCCACCCGTGTTGACGACTCGGTCTCATCAACGCGGCAACTACTCTTGCTGCTCAATAAAGACGTGGAATATATCTGCGGTTGATCTTCCACGAAGCTCATGGTCCACCAAACATAATTCGAAGCTTTCGTGACTGCAGGAATTACTCTTTGGTTCTTTCGGTAAAGTCACGTGTAAAGATAAAATAATAAATTAAATACTAGCATACGACGTTTCGATTGCAACACAAGCAATCATCATCAGGTAGAAATGAAATAGAAACACACATCTAGTATACTTAGAAATGTATGCCTCTGTGTGCCTATGTTTGTTCTCTCTCTATGTATCTCTGTGATATCTGTCTGCTTATATGTCTGTCTATATGTGTCTGGTTCTGTGTTTGATCTCTCTCTCAAATTTAGCATTCTCAAGAAGAACGTAATCAACCAGGTAGGGTGTTGACTGTTATGTTATCCGATTCTCTGTTGTATTACATTACATGTCTAAGTATACAAGATTTGTGTTTCTATTTCATTTATACCTGATGACGATTGCTTGTGTTGCAATCGAAACGTCGTATGCTAGTATTTAATTTATTATTGTATCTTTATACCTGACTTTACCGAAAGAACCAAAGAGTAACTCATGGTCCACCCTAAACCGCATCCACTGGTACAAACCACGGCAGTAGATGTGGATGCACGATACACAAGTAGAACTCGCCGGTGTGCGACTGTGGTCATCCAGGACAGACCCGAACAACGATGCCCGATCCGCAAATACGAAGGGAGACATCACGGCGATGATCCACTCCGCGACTCCTGTTATTTATTTGGCTTGACCACCTGAATGTGACATTGTAGTCGTTTCGATTTAAAGCTTTCGTGACTGCAGGGATTCATCTTCTTGGTTCTTTCGGTAAAGTCACGTAGAAGGGAAGTAATGAAATAATAAAAATAAAACATAATAAAATAAAATAAGAATTATTATTTTATTATTTTTATTATTTTATTACTTCCCTTCTACGTGACTTTACCGAAAGAACCAAGAAGATTGTAGTCGTTGTTCTGCATGCACATCAGCCGTACGACAAGAAGAAGCAGAAGGCTGCTCAACTTTGGAATTCCCCTCCCCTCGTCTCTTTTCCAAGTTTGCTGTAACCGCGCTCATTTCCAGAAACGAGTCAACTCTTATCTCTCACAGTTTTTATTTTGTTGTCGGATATTTGTTGCGTTTTGGGCCCTTTTTTAGGCCTGTGCTCAGCTATTTGGGGCCGTCCATAAATGACGTCACGCCCCTAAGGGGGGGGGGTCAGAAATTTGTGACGATGTGTTACGATGGGGGGGGGGGGGGTTGAGAAATGTGACGTCACATCAAATTGCGCAACTTTAAATAAATATAGACAACACGTTCTACTGAATTAAATAGACTTTTTAATAAATGTTTTACATCAAAGTGCAGCGCCACATTAAATACGCACTACAATGACAATAGTTTAAAGCGATTTGAAGCATGTTTTATTTTGGGGGGGGGCAGAGCTTTGTGACGTCAGATTTGAGGGGGGGTCTGACTTTTTGTGACGCCGTGTGACGAGGGGGGGGGGGTCAGAAATCGTCCAAAATCACGTGACGTCATTTATGGACGGCCCCTTATATTAATGCAGTGGAGACCATCAGAATTTGGTGGACAATTAGGGGAAGGCGTAGCCAAGCCCCAGGGCAAGGAGTAAACTCCCTGGATGGTTACAACGCATCACTTGTGGGTTTGTTGTTGTTATTGTAACGAGCATGTCATGTGCACGTGTTACAAACGGCATCCTTTTATCTGCAACTTATGTTCTGAAGAAGACGTTCAGTCATTGGCTCAAGGCAGGTGTGACAGATTGTGACTGAATCTTGATTTGAAGCTTTCGTGACTGCAGGAATCCATACTCTTTGGTTCTTTCGGTAGAGTCACGTAGGTCGAAAAATAATGAGATGTTATTTTTTATTTTACTTTATTTTTCTACCTACGTGACTTTACCGAAAGAACCAAAGAGTATTGTGACTGAAGTTTGTATTTTTATTTGCCGTTCCCCCCTCCCCCATTTCCACGAGGCACCACTGTCAACATTGCTGCCACCTACACTAGAATTATGCGTGCAAATATTCCACAGATGATAGGACGCGTTTGTCATGCTACTCACAAGCTTTGGTGGAGTCATGAGCGAAAGGGTTGCGGATAAAAAGGGATTTGTTCTGGAAATAAACAGGAGGAAATTTAATTGAGAATTCTTTTTTTGGGCAGTGAAATGTTATTGCTAACTGCTCATTTGTACAACTTTTACTCGAGGTGTTATCCTCCAACATGTGTGTTCAGTGGATGAGCCATTATATTTATGCTTCTTCGCTTGCTTATGCACACTCAGAACAGGTTTCACTGGGTTCTCACTTAAGTGGTGACAGGGTTGGTGACTTACAAACAATCAATGTGCGCTCATGCTGCGCAGTAAACAGACACGCAGTAATTCACCCCTCTGGTGATTCGATGAATTGTCACGATTTGTTGTCCTGGCTTGATCCGAAATTGCACTTCATTGGCACCTTCTGTCTCACATGCTTCGTCGAATGTTTTCTGCCTCGTTAATTCTGTGCGGTTTGCCAGGTAACCTGAGTTCGATTCCCGACCATGGCTAACATTAGTGGCAAGCAATATCTGAACCGGGTCCTGGATTCCCCCCTTTTCACCGACCCACATTGACGAGCTTGGTGAAGTATAGTCAAACAACCTCCTTGCCCGACACCAACTTGCGGATAACTTTATCCAACAGTGGTTTGACAAATAACGTAAAATAGTATCCATAATACAGTTATTTTTGGGTTAGATCGCGTAAATATATCAATATAAACCTTATTATTTGGTTGTGTTGGGTGGTGGCGCGTTTAACGACACATTTATATATTCATGCGATCTAACCCCCCCAAAAAAACCCTGTATTATGGATGATATTGGTCGCGAAAGCCTGCTACGTGTTAAACTAACTTAAAATATTCATTCTATTAGCTTCCCACTATTCAGGTATGAAATAATAATTTGCATATATTATAAATAATATATTCCTCGTTGAAGCATACGATGCGTACGCATCGTCAGCAGTATAATAGATTGGAATTGAATAGATTAATCCGTGCATACCTAACCTGCAGATTGTCAAATCCTTAACAAAATAACAACAATCACACCAACTATATGTGTCCTATAATGTGTGCAGTATGTAGCCCAGCAAGTTGGCACAGTAGGGGGCACAGGTGGTGCATCAGCCAGTCGTCTCAGTCAGTCGACCCGTGGCACCTGGGTCTGCCCCGTGACCTCCTGCCAGCGGGCGTTCGACACTTCACGTGGCCTCAAGGTGCACATGGCCTGGCACAAGCGTCGTGGTGACGTCACCGCCACTTAGTGGCGAATGAATGGCGGTTGTTGTTGTTGCAGTATGTAGGAAATCATGCTTGCCAGTCGTCTAGAATGCACATCTCAATATACCCTTTGCTGGATGATGTAGACCTGATGTCATGCACTGGATCGACCTGACCTCAGGAATAATGAATGGCCTGAACCATATTTGGTCCCAGAAACGTTTAAGTCTGGGCACTAAATCGAGAGTCTACGAGTGCTGTGTTTGTCAGCTTTGTTGTATGGTGCGGAGGCATGGACATTGCTAAGGCGCCACAGTGGCGAGATGTTGACTCCCTCGCCTGGTATACAGGAGTGGACGTGGGTTCGATCCCGACCCTGACGCCTCCTGCTGTATATTTGCAGTTTGCGTGTCTCTCTCCCCGTGGTCGCGTGGATCTTTAGTCCGGGTTCTGCGTCGCAAATGTCACCATTCTCGAGCTGAGTTCGAGGGAGACGGCTTCCACTTCGTGGACACGTCGCCCCCATCTTGATGCGCAAATTGCAGCAAATTGCGTTCACGGCAGTTGGCGGTCGATGTTTGAAGTGAGGACTGCGACCCCCAAAGGAATGGCGTTGACCCCGTGGTCGCCTCCCCCCCGCCCCCCCTTCCCCCCGTGATCGGTGGATCAAACAAATCACTCGAGACGCGGGTGTATAGCAGCAAGAGCAGTTTTTGCGAATGCTGTCGCAAGTGGTTACATGCTCGACGCAGCGGCTCTTCGCTGACTATGCGTGATGAATGAATGAATGTGAATCACTGCCCAGTCCAGAATGACCCAACATGTGCTAATCGGTGGCTTCTTGCACCACTGTACTCAATCTCTCTTTCTCTCTTAAGTGGGACTGCCTGCCTCACTTTGCCAGCAAAATAAATAGCACCTGAGCAAAAGTGTGTTTTCTGCAGTGAGGCACATGGGATAATTTAAAATTACGGCTTCAATTGATGGCCTTGATGGTGGAAACAGTGGTGGAGGTGGTGATGGATATGGTCATGGTGGCAGTGATGAATGTGAAGATGGTGGTGGTGGTGGTGGAAGCGATGCGGCAAATGTGATTTGGCGGTAGTTGTGGTGGTGGGGGATGTGATGGTGATGAATGTGACGGTGATAGGTCGGTGTAGTGGTGGTGTTGATTGATTTCATGTTGTTGATGGAAATGGTGACAGTGCTAATGTGATGGTGGAAATTGAAATTACAGTTGTGGATATCGCGGTGGTGGTTTGCATCAGTGGTGATTGCGGTGGTACAAGTACTGTAACCACCATTTCCTGACTTGTGTCGTCTCCCTCGTTGTCTCCGCACTGAACATTCTGCAGGCCATGATGACTTCGGTGTTTCATTTCTGCCTGAATGCCATTCCCATGTCGCTGGGGCTGGGCATGACCATGGTGATGTCGGACAGCTTGCTGACTAAGGTCGTGCCGCCTGCAAACACAGGTAGAACACCGGGTGGGAAGACAACAACAACAACACCAACAGCAAGACTCGTCCATCGTTGGGAGATAAATTCACCCAGGTGCACCGCAAAGAGTGAAGGGCGGGGGGAGAGAAATTAAAACGTTCCCCGCATTGTAAATTAAACCTAGAAAGTCTAAAAGGCGGAGTTTGACTTCTATATGGGGGGGGGGGGGGTGCTGCAGGGGTTCGCTATGCCCCTCACATTAGGAATATAAATACATGTATTTATATTTTTATTCGTCTTAATTGTAAACTCCTGAAAATAAATTGATGAATCTTGTTGGCTCTTTCGGTAAAGTCACGTAGAATGGAAGTAATAAAATAATAAAAATAAACATAAAACATAAAAATAAAACATAATTATTTTTTTTATTTTTAATAATAATTATGTTTTTTTTTATTACTTCCCTTCTACGTGACTTTACCGAAAGAACCAAGAAGATGAATCCCTGCAGTCACGAAAGCTTTAAATCGAAATTTAAATTGATGAAGTTGTCTAGTTAGGGGGGGGGGCATTGCCCCCCCCCACCGCAAACTCGGCCCATGCTACAAACACATCAAAACCACGAATAATATCAACTGCACGCCGATGGCATCTGCACATCGCACCATTGTTGAGCCTCCCCCACCTTCCGGCGCGTATCCCCACATCCTTGATATTTGATGAATTGTGTCAGCTCCTTTATCCGTCACCGCGGGTCGCTTCATGCCGCTTGTAACCGAGCCACCCACCGTAAGAGAACAAGGCAGGGCAGCGACGAATCCCCACGGATAGAGAGGGACTGCAGGTTCCGGGAAGCGAAGGGGTTAACGAGAACACCGGCAATTTGTGCCATTATGTAATGCGCACTTAGTGCGCATATTTTGCAGGATTAAAGCGCATTACGTGGCGGGACTTAGGGGGAAGGCTGGGCCGTGAATCAGGACACGGGGATTGAGCGGGGGGCAAAGTGGCGTCGTGAATCACGGCGTTATAATCACGCGGTCTGGACGCACGGGGCAGAAGGAGGTAGGTAGGTAGGTGACGCCCGGAAAATTTCATTCCGCGAATCAATTAAAGAGTGAGGCTAACGTAACCTCCATCGATATCGGGAGAGGGGGGGGGGGGCATCTCGTTTCACGATCCCTCGCCCTGAGCGCGACAAGAGCTGTGCGGTTGTTGCTGTTTCGGGGCACATTTTCACACCGCATCCTTTTTAAAACTCCATTTCTCACCCCCCCCCACCACACCAACCACCACCACCCATCCCGTCCTCCTAACCCTGTAATTCTTCACTCGCTTATTATTTGGCACCCATAAAGACCCACCCGGCGGAATGTGAGCAACATTTTGTCGTGGGAGATAATCGCTACCGCAAAAAGGGGATTGAGTTAACACGCGCGCGGAATTCGCAGCTGTAAGGACCCCCCGATAATCGGCATCTTGAATCCCCGTACCTTGCGTTTGTGGGAACGGGCAGCAGCTGCGTGAAGGGTGCACACACACAAAAAAAACACACTGGCCGGATTTGCCCAGCCCAGCCCAGCGCCACGTTTATGCCTCTCAGCTCACAGTGGCACAGCCTACGCTGGCAAGGTCTAACTCCTGCGTAGGCGCCGTCTCTTGCCGAGTGTGAGAGCCTCACCCATCGCCTCTCCGTGTAAGCCCCGCCGCACGCTAAGTGCCTAATGTGTTTTTATTAGTGGAGACGGCACAATGAAGGCAGTCTGGCCGTGAGAGCAAAATGGCGAGTCGTTTTCGATCAAGCTGTCTTTGCCGTGTGTGTGTGTTTGTAGAAGAATTGTACTCCTTTGTTTAATGCATGTAATTCATTCCCTCACTATTCAACCCGTTCAGAGGTTGTTGACGCTTTGTGAAAGAGAACCCGGGGGTAATCGTTGCTACATAGGGGAAGTTACAGGGGCATGTCTGTGTCTCTGCAGACTGTTGCTTTTATCCGCTATGATGCAAATGACTTACTTGAGAGACAAAAAGGCATAGCAATATCACGCCCCAGCCCCGTGAACTAGTAGACTAATACCCATTTACAGTCCAGTGATGAAGACATCTTGTTGCCAAAAAAGCACATCTAGTTATTGGGGTCCCTTTGGCTATGTGATAAAAGGCACTTTGAGTTTCTAGGGCATTTAAACACCCGATTCGTGCAAATGGTGATGCAGAGGTCATGGAGAAAACCGACTCTCAGTTTCCTCCCACATGTTAATATCCTCCTCCAAGAAGGAAGGAGGCCAATATCTCAATGAAAGGTCTTCCTGAAAAAATAAATGACTTTAAAAAAATTGGGCCATGGCCCATCACAAAGTGGCCCACGCGTGCACCGAATGTTTTCGCAATTGCGCCCCTCTCACTGCTCTCCGGTGTGTTTTCAGTTTTGTGCCGCGCGTGTGTCGCTGGGTAACGATGTCCGACGTTTCAATCCGTGCGCCGGGCTCCCGACGAAGCTCACGGCACGAGCAGCGAAACGTGCGGTACAATCCGAAAAACACGTGGGAGCAAAATCCACGGCCGTCATCTTTGCAGCGGGCATTGCTAATTCCTCCCCACGGGAATGAGTGGGGCAGCTGCAGGAATGGAAATTGTCAACGCCGTGCAAACCGGTTCGGTGGCTATATCAAGAACAATCGTTTGTTTAACCAGCCATCTCTTCATTTGTTGACCAATCAATGGACATTGAGGTGACCGTAGTGTCAAGTAGCAAATGCATGGCCCTTACTCAAGCTGATGTACACACAGGCAGTTTTGCTATACCCTCTCTGGCTGTTTCAATGTGGACAGGACTCCTTTGTTGTTGGGAGCAGATGTGCTTTGACAGCGGGTCACTGCTTCCGAACTTGGTATAAAGGGGACTACAGCTACGGGTCCCAGTGTTACGACGTTTCTGTGCGCAACTTACCGCCCCCGGCTTTGTTTAGGTTACTCGCCCGTGTGTTTCGTTGGATGCTAAGCACAGAAGCAAGGACAACACGCCTCGAAGCCATCGTTTTCAGTGGTTGTGTGCCGGAGACGAAACGAGTTGCCGTGGCGCAAGATTTAGCAGCCCCGCCAACAGCCACTAGAGGCACTGTCGTTCACTGCTATCGTTAACAAAAATAAGTAATATTTTTTTAACTTTTTTAAAAACACGCTTTAATTAAATGTACCGTACTAGTAATGGAAGAACTCCACGTCTCCAGGAAGTGGCCAAGAAGCTTGCCACAACGTAAGGGGCCGTGGTGATTACAGCCAACGGCAGTTGAGCGTGGACAATTAGACCCAAGCCGAAACAGAACATATAAAAAATTATGTTTACAAATATCATTTTTTTTATGATAGAATATAGTATCGTCATCAGTATGACATAAGTATACCAAGTTTGCAGTCGATACCACATTGGGAAGTGGGTAAAAATTGAGTTACAAGATTTGTGGATACAACAACAACAGACAGAGTTAATAAAAAGCGTGTAATAATAAAAACACATAAACCCCGAGAAGGAATTGTCGGGTGTGGAATTGTGAAGTCCGAATTCCACGGGAGAAGAATTAACTTCCAACTAGCCCTGGTTGTATTGTGCAGTGTCAGGGAGCGTGCTGTACTCGTTGGGATCAACAGAAGAATCAAGGGAGATATCCGCCCAGGAGAGTGACAGCATGTCACGCTGCCCATTTCGTGCCATCAACAGAGCGGGTCAACAGCGCCGGGCTAGGAGTTAAAATCACTGAACCTTGGAATCCGAATTGAGTGAGTGACCTCTGAGCAACATGGACGCTTGCAATCTTCACGTATTTTTTTTATCTCCCTCCCTCTCTCTCTTGTACGGATTTGCCCTGAAATGTAACAGCGATACCACGCAATTGCTAATTCATTTGTGTTCCGATCGCTCTGAAAATATGCAGGCGGAAAGATGTGGCATGCCGGGCACCGTGTCAGCAGTTCATTGGTGTGAAACAAAAACCTATCCCCCCACATGACTGGGTACTTTGGAAAAAAATTCCCTCTGGCTTGGCAAAGGTGCAGCCCTGCAATTGCGACCTCGCGTCACTGGAGGTGGAAGGACCTCCAAAAATGATGGAGCTCAAGAGATCCCTTCGAGATGGTATTTTGGCCTACTCCTCCATACTGGACAGATGCCTTGGAAGACGTGGGAGTACCCTCCCTTGACCACACCACACGTGACTTGCCAACTGGTCTACTGTTTAGACTTCATTCAAACCAAATGTGCTACCTGCAATCACACGTTACATACCCCTCCATTCACAAAAATAAAGTTTAGCATGCCATCGTTAAAGCCTAACTACTCATCCGTAATGAGTAACACATAACTTTTAAACGGTAACTGTATAAAAACGTGCGTTCACGGATTACCTGGTTTGCCATTTGGAACGAAAAACTGAGAAGTGCGCAAAAGTAACATGGGCAGATGCGTGCTTGGAAAGACACGAGGAACAAACGGATTAGAGAACACGTAGTTCAATGACATCATACAAACTGTGGAGGAAATTAAGTAGGCTTGGGCATAACACCTTTAAAGCCAACGAAGTGGCTTATCATGTGTAAATTTAGAGCAGCCAAATACGCATATGCATATTGATTTTAAATGTGGAGGGAAAAACCGGAGGACACGGATAAAAATCCACACGGCAACAGACATCAAGGTTGGGGTTGAACCCACGACCTCCTGCATAACAGGCGAGGCAATTGACAATCTCGCCACCGTGGCGCCCTCGTTTGCAAAAGGAGATGACGGCCGATGGTCGAGAGTGATAACGTTGTGGCAGCCAAGGGGTGGAACATGTTTGACATGGCGCCCGACGAGGAGATGAAGTGATGAAATGACCTCGTGCGTGGGTGCCAGCTGAATTATTCCATCGCGGGACTGTGAGAGATGACAGCAGGATCGGAGGGCCTTCGCCGAGCAGGGCATCTGCCCACGACTAGAAACGCGCGATGGTTTGCAATTTGTGATGAGTGCGAAGATGAAGACGTGTATATATATTTGTTTTGTGTCTCTCGTTCTCCAGGTGTGATGCTGGGTCTGAGCATGTCCATCCATTCGCTCATCCGAACGGTGTCCCCGACCATCGGTGGGTTTCTCTACGCGTCCTTTGGCTTCCCCGTGTTTGGGTGGCTTCAGTTCGCGGTCAACCTGGCGCTCTTCGTCAGCCTGCACATCTACATACGGTCCAAATCAAAGGCGGCGGCTATTTTTAGCTCGAAGCAGTAAATAGGGAGGACTTCATCCAGCGGTGGATTGACTGGGACCAACGATGGCGATGCTGGTGATGGAGTAATGAAGGGCCAAAAGAAATTTGACTCGAATGAAAGTTGAAAACATATTTTAAAGAAGTGTGCGTTCAAGCCCGGGTGGTTTGATGCGCAACGTTTCCTCAGTTTTATTTTCATACCGCACACATTCATCTAAACTTGGCTGTGACAACCGCACGCGATGCACGTTTCTCTCTCAGCGCCTCTGGACTGCGACTGTTCGTGCGTAACCGTGGCATGGTGGGCGGACGTAACGTCAGCTCGCTCGCGTAGCCGCCTTTCCAAGCCAGATTTGTTTTTGCATTACTGCTACTACAAATATAAACTGCGCTGCTGTACATCAAACGCCCGGTGTTAGGTTTTTTTTGGCGAGTTGAAATGAAACCTAAACACGGAAGTTTTACTTCGTAGGCGACAACCGGCATCCATGGGCATAACTAAATGAAAGTGATAAAACCGCAAAAAAGAAAAGCAAGCACGAACGATTTTAAAAAAACAAGCTGCGATAATTTTTCATCCTTCAAAGACTGCTCCCTTTTTTCGGCCCCAGTTTTCCTCGGCAGCCTGCGATTTTTCACACGTGAAGCCGAAATGCTTAACATCCTTCCTGAATGACGGCACGCTTGCTCCTGCGACATTGCCTATGCAGTACACAACACTCATGCAGCAGTCTGGAGAGCATTTTTTTTAACTGCTACTTCAGTGCAAGAAAGTTTCCCATTGATAAACAGCTTCAAGTTTTCACTCTTGCGAGTTTTTGTTTGGCTGTGGAGTGTAGACCAGGAATGCGTGCCAAATGAAGCACTTCTATCTGCCTCATTTACCGCCAACTCAAGCAAGAGTCTGGCAGAGAGTGTTTAATATGCGCACTTTTTGGCAAATGCGGTCAGCATCTTGAGCATCAATGACAACTGGAAAAAGTCCAAGCGTTCCAAGACTGTTTTTATTTTCATCATTGGGATTTTCAGTCGGGATTTAAGAACATGTGGTGCATAAAATTGCCGGGTTATAGCTGTACAATTCAGAATCACGCGGCATTCTTAATTGCACTACGAGCCGCAGCCGTGTGACCAATTTGGAGACGATCCCAGGCATAAATGCTAGTGCCCCGGTGGGCGTTCTTGCAAGGTGTGATGTAGGACAATTGTGCAGACGGCTGTACGAAACGTACTGCAGCACTTACCTATGCGATAAGTGTAAGCACGACCGCGATCCCCAGGATTAAGTCCTAATGCTTCGGTGGGTGTTCTTGTTGAGACACGATGTGTGCGGCGATCATTAGAGGCTCCATTAAACACCGCAGTGCTTTTGCCTGCCTGAGTCATGCAAATCAATGCAATTAATGCAAATGCTCCAATCGGGTGCAGCGGTGACGCGCTGTTTATCCCACTGCACCGTGAACCCGAGTTTGATTCGCAACCACGGCTAACGTCAGTGATTGGCAGAACCGGTCCGAGCGAATGCCCTACGTAGCAACTCGCGCGCAGTGACCATCGTGGTGAATTTTGCGATGAACGCTTCATCCAGCAGTCGATTGATCCAGGCCTATAAGTTTAACACGTAGGTTTTCGCGACCAATATTAGCCATGATAACGTTTTTTTTTCTCAGTTAGATCGCGTAAATATAAATGCGTCGTGAAATCCGCCATCACCTGACACGGCCAATTCGTAAAGTTTGTTACGTCAACAAAACATACTCTCGAACAAACCGCTAGAAGTTTTGTTTACTTGACAAACTTTACAAATTGGCTGTGTTGGGTGGAGGCGGGTTTAACTGCATTTATATTTATGTGATCTAACCTTTATCAGTGCTATAAATGCTAATTTATTATAATAATTGCTGCATCACAGTGCTTTAATAAACCATGATGAAGTTGGACACTTAAAACAGGGGTTGTATGTTATTTTTTATTGATGTAAATAATATTAACAGTGGAGCAATGCAGACACAAGAGCTCTGAACAACCAACAATCGGTTTGATCCACACAACACTGCCCATTCACTAGGTGCAAGTTCTAATGGACAGGAAAGAAGAATCAACAACAACAACAACAACAACAGAAGAAGAAGCATGAATCACATCTCCACTTAAAACGTGGTGAATCACAAACGTACAATATAATTATACACTACAGCAGGTAACACTGTTTTTCTTTCTTCCTTCCCCCCCGACGACTCCTCCGGACGATGCCGACGACGACGACGACACTCCTCGGCATGAAGATTCGCGCGCAGATCCCAATCGCCAAAAGTGCCGTCATCTCTTCCCCGACTGCGCGGGAACCCATCGCCATGCCACGTCAAGCAAAACAAAATTTGCCGTTTCTGTCCAACTACTTGGGGGGGGGGGGGGGGCAGCCGCTCCCGGGCATTTGCATGGCAGGCAGATTAGCAACATGACACACGCGACTGACACGTGGCCGCTCTCGCGCCGTCGCCAGGAGGTGCGGTTGTAGGGTGCGTCGCGCCGTGCGCACGCACGCACGCACGCGGCACGGTACCGTAGCAACTTGTTCGGGAACTGCGGGCTATCTACAAAAAAAGCTGGCTGCGAAAGATTGGCAAAAAGGAGGAGGAGGGTCGGTCGCTGCTTTGTGCTTGGCAGAGGTGGAGGGTGGAAGCTGGTGACTCACTTCCAATCTGCTTGCAGCCTGGAAAAGAAAAAGGCGGTGGACGAGAGATGTAAATATATGAAAGTATCGGGAATTTCAACAATGAAGAGCGGTGCAAAGCTCTTCTGAATTCAAACGTTCGCGTACACAGATTTCCCAATTACCGGCAAACATTACACGTCAGAAGATAAGCATGACTACCCTGTGATTAGTAAAATTATCTGCCTTTTTGGTTTTTCAATGCGGCCACGTTGGCTGTGGCTAATTTTAGGGTTGAGATGTGTCTGTGCACATGGAAACTGGGTTACTTCCTCCCCCAGTGCAAACGCGCAAAGGGTTGTTGAATTAACGATGGGTTAAGCATCACGAACAGCTGTTATTGCTCTCGTCAACCGTGTGCAGTTTTCCAGTATTCGAGACGCTGCACTTTTGCGTTGGCAACATCACTGCACCACGTTAAAGACATCGTTCAAGCCGTTAAGGAATTACGAGTCGTTGGCTTCGGCAGGAGACGGCGCTAGAAAGGGATGATGGCCGACGGTTAAGAGACACAGCCAAGGAGAGGACATCCACCTCCTATGGTGGACATCTGTGAAAAAGAGCTTCATGGCTCATCGGATTTCTCCCGGTTCAATCTTCTGATTCTGGATGATTACATCGCAGGGTCACGAGAGATGGCGACGTTTTTGAGAGACCGCTAATCCAGCGGGTGGACTGATCGTGGCCGAAGACAACGATGAGCATTGCACCGGATGAATTTGCCAGGGCTCAGCAAAGTGTGTACGTGAATGATGGCGCTCTCTCTCTCTCTCTCGCAATTGCTGTGCATCTCCGAGAAACCTGCCTGCGTTCAAACACGCGAAGCCAGGAAACCAAAAAGCAATGCAGAATCTAAACCAACGCTCTCAATCAGCGCAACAAACAGCAATACAAAAAATCGGCCAGTCCTGAAGAGCTTTTGCACAGCTTTCACGCAATGCATTTTCATTAAATGTTATTTTTTGTGTTTGTAAGAATTCAGTTTCGCTGGCTTTGGAAGGTCACAACAGCAGCGATGTCTAAACGCACCCGATCTTGACACTCTCACAGCCCCGCCCAGTAGCACCACTTGGCAAATGGCATTTCCGTTGCCATGACAGCCAAATCTTATATCCTGGCAGCATGTGTGTTTATTGGGCGAGCGGTGGGGTGTGAAGTCGTGGTCGTGGTGGTGGTGTTGGAGTGTGTGCGTGTGTGCGTGCATCTTTTTGGGGAGCGGTAGTGTAGCGGTTAGCGCGCTGCGCTATGAACCTGGCGACCCGGGTTCGATTCCCGCTCACGGCTAACACCAGTGACGATTATCTGAACCGGTCCTGGGCCTCCCCTAGGTCGACTCAGCCTTAAATGAGTACCTGGTGCGGTGTGTAAACATCGCCACTGGGGAGACAAAGGCGGTCAGGCGTGGTGCTGGCCACCCACCCCCCTCGTTCGTGTACCGTTCCGGCCTTCATAGGTGCTCGCTAACAGCACTTGCCCATACAGTCTGTTAAGGCTATACGGGAGACTTTGTCTTTGCATCTTTCACTGGTGCTCCTGGGTGTCCCGGAGTGCCCGTGTGGCTCACAAAAGACGGGGAGCTTCAAGACCTCAAGCAATACGCAAAATCCCACCCACAGATCCAGCCAAATCCATTGTGCGCCGTGGTGGTGAGATGTTAACTACCTCGCCTGGTATACAGGAGGCCGTGGGTTCCATCCTACCCCTGATGTCTGCATATTTGGAGTGTGCATGTTCTCCCCGTGGTCACGTGGATTTTTTTCCGGGTGCTCCAGGTTTTCCCTCCACATTTAGAATCAACGTACGTTTAGAGTATTTGTCTGCTATACATTTCCACACGATAAGCCATTTCATTTGGCTATCATTTGTGGCCAGGTCGCTTCCAAAAAAGAGCTATATCGCTCAGTGGGCCATACCTGGTAAAATTAAAAATATATCTTCTTGGTTCTTTCGGTAAAGTCACGTAGAAGGGAAGTAATAAAATAATAAAAATAAAACATAAATAAATAACATAAATAAAACATAACAAAATAATGCCTGTATGTTTTGTTATGTATTATTTTTCTTATTTTATTACTTCCCTTCTACGTGACTTTACCGAAAGAACCAAGAAGATGAATCCCTGCAGTCACGAAAGCTTTAAATCGAAATTAAAAATATAGTTTAGTTTTAGTTTAACGCAGGCGCATGCAAAGCGTGCTACTTTTATTTGCTAAATGCGTGTAGCATGGAGCACAATTTACCGCAGTTAAAAATGTGTATTGCCAACGGCGTGGGCACCGCTGAGGTACAAACAAACAGGACGTGCCTTGGGAAGGGTGAATACTGTATCCTACAATATTAGTCCGTAAGCCAGAACCCGATATTTCAACTATAGGTACCACCAGAGGTGCAATCACTTTAGCGGTTCAAATTAATTTACGTGGACAATAACAGTGGATAATGTGATAACCACTTAAAATGAGTGGGGTATGGAAACATATATATATTGGCCGTATAAATACATTGGTAGTGTGAAGGTAGTAGCGATTTTTTTTTTGCGATTGCACCCGATTCAAGAGCCGAATGGCTCACAGAGCGAAACCAAATAAATACAACTGAAAAATGTCTGCTCTGGCCGACTGTTTGATACCAGAGGAGGGCAGATCTGCATGTAAATAAATGCATTGCCTTGAGTGGTGTATTATTACTCAACTGACACACACAAAAAAACGGGATTATTAATATCCCGGGAAAAACTTGCCTTAAAAGGTGCTATAAAATGTAATTTCTTTAACATGTTATTTGCACAGGTTTTGTAGTACGGCACATTTAAAAGTAACGTGATTCAATGTCGTAAGCGAGGAGTGAACCCACCGCGATTGAATTCGTAATAAGTAAACCGATGTGTGTCATTGTGTGGCCCGGGTTATTTTACAGTTTGGATTTAAGTATTTATCAGATTCGGGTTTTCATAGCGAGCGCACAATTAACTACAGTACCTCTTACAAACGACTCCGTGTCGCAGTTTTAGGTAACCCATCTGCCCGATAAAACAAAAATAAGAATGCATTTTGCAAGTTACCAAAATCCAAACACTTTGCCACAGTTTCCATCCGTTCATCAGTAGTATTTTTCTAGACCATGGATGCTGTCGTGGTGTGATGGCTATGAGACGTTGTACTTGCGATCCCGAGGGCCACTGGTTTCAAACGTGTCAGGTTTCTTAAACTCCCCTCCCTCTCCCCGCACAGTATAAAAGGATACACCAGTTAGTAGATTGGCAGGCCTGCACGCTGGCATGAAATGTGGCTTACTCCCCCAAGATGTTTGGTCAGTGTGGAAGAAGTAGGCCAAATATCCTCTCGAGGGGCACAGAGGGCCTTCCACCAGCAGTGCGCATGAGCGGGTAATTGCAGGGCTGCAACCTTTACCTCTTTATTTTTACAGTCGATATCGTAACGTGCCATTTTCCTTACGAGTCAAAACACACACACACACACGTGCAAATGTGGCCGTGCGTGCTAAAGCCATCAGTTAAACGTGCAATTTGTTTAAAAATAAATCGGGAACACGCACGAATCGCACTGCTGCTGCTATACGTCCTGTAACCACCACGCAATTTTGTGACAAACGAGAATCGTGATTGCCGCCGTCGGGGAAGATAATTGTGTCCGCCTCTGCCGAACGCATTACTTGGGCTCAGATTCGGGCATTATGAAAATAAATCTGCCCCGCGGGAAATTGGGTATGCTTTAAAAGCGCCGAGAGCCAATACCGTCCATTAATCAAACGGAGCGTGAACACTTGAGGGCAGAGGCTCGTGAGGAGCTGATGTAAAGCCCACCGGCATGCACCTACGGGATTATATTGAATTGCATTTGCGTCACCAGGCATGCTTCCGAGTGAAATGCAGACCCGTGTATAGACGCAGGGACGTGTTCTATTTCATTACGGCCTAATAGGTAGTGGGAGTGCTCACATTCCAAAATTATTGGGACTATTCTAAGCTATTAGCTTTTTTTTAGTACCTTGCTTATTTCACCAGATCGGAAACTGTCGTCTGCGTATACAATGACAAAGATCTCCAGTATAGCCTTAACAGACAGTTGGGGCAAGTGCTGTTAGCGAGCACCTATGAAGGCCCCCACGGCACACGGGGAAGCACCACGCCCGGTCGACTTTGTCTCCCCAGTGGCGATCATTACACATCGCACCAGGTACTCATTTGTGGCCAAGTCGACCTAGGAGAGGCCCAGCACCGATTCATAAAATCGTCACTGGTGTTGACCGTCAGCAGGAATCGAACTTGGGTCAGCAGAAATCGAACTTGGGTCAGCAAGGATCGAACTTGGGTCAGCAGGCATCGAACTTGGGTCAGCAGGGATCGAACTTGGGTCACCAGGTTCGCAGCGCAGCGCGCTAAACCGCTGCACTACCGTTCCCCGTGTACACACTCGCGTGCACACACACACACTGAAGAATACTTGTAGGGCATGGAATGAATGATCGGAATTAATCATTTACAACACGAACCTACCGTGGTGATTCAACTGTGTTGTTCTATGGGAGAATCATTTCCACGGGAAAAAGTATTGTGTGCCTCCGACAAATCACAATCGCCTTCCTACGACTGGGTAGAGTACACAATTGCCTGTCCTGCACTCGCATTTAAATCGCACACAATTATTGCACCTTGTGTTTTATAACTGGGGGGGGGGGGGTATTAAACTGTAAAATAATAATAAACTCCGGCACTGTACCCGATATTGTGATGACGCTAAGCACAATGCATTAATGGCGCATTAGATGAATAATTTAGTCTTAAATCATGCACCGCTGTGCGCTGACCTCATACGAGCTCACACACGAAACGCGCCACTGTATCTGGACGCGTCACGTAGACAGACATTCGTGTTTTCCGAGTGTGTGGTGTGTGTGTGTGCGTGCACCCGATTGTGGTTTGTCAACGCCCGAAAGGCATCGACACGGACATACTTGTGTACACGTGCGTAATACGACTGGCAAGACATCACAGCATGAATTGACGCGGTACCCGTGGCTGGGCGTGCATTTACATTTCGGAAGCCACAATCCACCCCTCCAAAAAAAAGCACCCCGCATGTCCCTGCTCAGGACACTTTCGTAAGAGGCACCGTTGTTTCATCGGCTGCCACCTCGCGGTGCTAAGATCTTCACGCGGGTCGATGGAAGTCGGTGGGAATTCATTCAGTTCGCACGAGGCTGGCACTTGTGCCGATTTATATGGAAAAAAGCAAGCGTTTGTTTCGGTCCCCCCCTCACCCCCGCCACCGTTAAACAAAAGACGTCAACCCTAAAAGCTTTGGGTGCGTAATTCCATATGCACTTCGTGAGCAGGTGAGTGAAACCCCCCTCTATTGAGACACCGTGCGTGCCCTCTTTTCGAAGTGAGACCTTGGCAAAAGGACAATCGGCCGCGGGACACCAAGGGAAGGGTGCGTTCAAAAAGAATGCCCGCGCGAGCACAAAAGGGACAGGCGGACAATGCCGCCGCAGAGCATTGAACGGGAAGGCTTCGAATTACACTCGCCGGTTCAGCGAGGGCCTCTTTAAATTGGGGGCAGAGCTTTAGACGGTCCTTTCTACCCGGGGAGGAATGGGAATTCATCAAAGTAGCAGGACCAGTGCGTATGCACTTAGCACCCCGCCTTGACCTGCATATGTTTGAGTTGCAAACGAATGCCACCGGGTTTATTCACGTGTCCATTTCAACACTGCCATAATTGCTTTGTGGTGGAGCGGTAGTGCGGTGGTGAACGCACGAAGCTACGAACATGGCCACTCGAGTTCGATTCCTGGCCACGGCTAACATAAGTGGCATGTGGATAGATCCTGGATCTCCCGCACTGACCAGCGTGGGAAAGTATGATCAAACAACCCCCACGAGGCCTTCATCCAGCGGTGGATTGCTCATTCTCTCGCTGTTTGTACCGTGAGCAGTACAAGAATAATAACAACGGTCCATACAAAAACAGCAGCTAGGTTTGAGTTGGCGTTAAGATTTCATGAAAAAGTGGACTAAAAACAGAATACTGTGCCTGTAAAATCTGTCAACACTGAAAAAATGCAATCCAGCCAACACATGTTTCCCCTCATCCGTGCTTCATCCTGCACATATATGATTTAGTGTCACAGCTTAAGCGCACTCACAGCACAGAGCCAGTATTTATCTGCTGCTGGATGAAAGCCAGCTGTGGATATCTCCCAAAGCCAAAGTTATTCACTGCTCACACACCGCATCCCTTAGGATAATGTTTAAATATAAGCGCTGAGCAATGGCCAGACAAAACACACTGCCCATGACTTGTTCATCCTTAACCCTGAAACTACAAATTAACTGAAACTACAATCAAGTATCAGCCATGATTCATTCACCGTTGGCTATAATAAATGTCCACAAAAGCCACTTCGTTGAGCTATCATTTGTGGCCAGGTCGATTCTGAAAAATAAACACATTTAACCTGGTGAAACAAAATAGTTTAGTTTTACGTGTATTTTATTTTTGTGTGTGATTTACTTACCTTTCCTATACTTTGCACTCCTATCGTGTTTTTGTAACGTTTGTTGTTGTAACCTTCTGACCCGCCTCTACTGGACATCTGTGAAAAAGAGCTTTATAGCTCATCGGATTCCTCCAGCATAAATAAATATTCTGATTCTGAATGAAGGCCTTCCCAAGTCCTTGCCATCTGTCGCAGTTCTGTGGCTCACCTAGCACCAACACGTGAGCTGATTTAATCGCTCCATCTCCTCGATTAATGCCCTCTGGGACGCGTTCCATTTCTTGGCTGCCGCTCTGTCACTATTCTCGACCATCGGTCATCATTCTTAATTTGTAGCTTTCGTGACTGCAGGAATTACTCTTTGGTTCTTTCGGTAAAGTCACGTATAAAGATAAAATAATAAATTAAATCATCATCCCTTCCAAGCGGCGTTGCCCGATGCAAGTGCACTTACTTTTCTCAACAGTTGTAATTGTCTTAAATCTGGTAACGTTCTCTAATCTAATCCACGTGTTTGTTTTGCTTTCTGTCTGTCTCCCAATGCAATTCCAAGATAACTAACAAAATAGACCGTCATGTGACTTGTTAAATGAATTCTACAGCACGCAAAGCCGATGCATGTAGATGAGTGCCTGATGTACATTATAATGATGCCCTGACTGCAAGGGCTAGAAAGCTGACAATTGGCACGAATGCAGTTCAGTATTTGATTACAAGTAACCTAACACTAAAACCCAATGTCACATCTGGGCCCCCACAAAATGACAGCAGCGAGCTAGGCAGATAACCCATAAGACGGAGCCAGCCTGAAGTTTTTTTAAGTTTAGTGTTCCTTAAAAAAAGGAGTTACGATATCAATCGTCAGCGAACCATCAGCCATGTTCAATCCACTGCTGGATGAAGACCTCTCCAAGCCGCCGTCACCTCTCTCGATCCTGCGATGTCAATAATAATCGACCTCACATCTGCGCGTCAACTCATTTAATTCGCTCCACATCTTCAAGACGTACACACTCTCAGACGCCTCCCATCGCACTGAACTATTGACCCCCCCCCTCCCGTGAAGGGCGACGATGCGGTCGACCACGCATATACCTGGCGATGGGTCATTTGGGATGGCAGTCCGTTAGTGCATTCTTGAATCCACCTCTACGGAGTTTTTGAACGTCACCCGCACATGTGCGTCGTGGGTTTTCTCCGCGGGGAGCTGCAGTTTCCTTCCACGTGCCAAACACGCAGATTGATGACATTGGCCAAACACCCCCCCCACGCCCCCACCTCCAACATTCAAGAGGCCCTCATTAACAAACTAAAGTGTTGAGACCCAGTGAGGCATTCGTGGGCAAAAGGCATTATTAAGATTCTAACAATTATTGTTATGGATGGATCAAGTGGCGCAATGGATAAGCGCGCCGCGCTATTAAACGCAGCAACCAAGATTTGTGTGTCGGTAAACATCAGCGGCGAGTGATACGTGAACAGGTCCTAGTCTCTCTCCAACCTCTCTCCCCTTCAACCACGTCACCGACCCTCCCCGGACCAGCGTGGCGAGTTCCGATCAAACAAAACCTCCAAGAACCGACACGACACCGGGATGGTTCGCCTTCATCCAGCAGTGGCTTTGGACACAGGAATGGAAAATGAAATCGCGATGATCATCGTCGTCAGTAGCAGCAGCAGCAACATCCGAACCTTCTTACCTCTGGGACTCGTTCACAGGGGCTCCAAGTGGCCACTTTATAAACGCGGGCGGGGTTGTCAATTGCGCACGGACTGTGGCAGATGTTGCTGCTGCTGTTGCTGCTGCTGCTGCCGAGCCCTGGCCTCCCGCACCGCCTGCTGGTTCTTGAACTGCACCAGCGCCAGCGTGATCTGCGCGTTCCACCCCGTCTCGTCCAGGCAGCGGAAATCGATCTCCTTGTTCTCGGCCGTCACGATGGTGAAGTACACGTACTTGCCCTTGCGTTCCACACAGTCCAGCGTCTTGATGCTGGCGAAGGGCAGCTCCTTGGCCGAGCCACTGCTGCTCCCACCACCACCACCAACACCAGCACCACCACCACCACCACCCGCGACTGCTCCACCGGCGCCAGCTGTACCACCACCACCACCGGCACCGCCGCCACGTCGGGGTCTCATGAAGCCCTCCTCGGCGTCAGAGATGCTGAGACCCTCCGGGGTGAGGACACAAAGCTTCTTCTTCCACAGCTGCAAGAAGTTGTCGCTGCGCTTTTCCAGCTCGCCCTCCTTGATCACCTGCCGTGGGTCCATGGGTGCTGTGTTTCGCATCCTCCTCCCCGGTGTCCCACACAACCTCGTTCCCCCACCACCCCCAACCCGGCACTCTTCCACCTCTCGCGCTGTCTAGAGGATCTGTCTTGGGGGCCTCGGTGTGACCAGAGGGCTCCCTGCTGAGCTCGAGAGCGACGGGATGACGTCCTCCAGTTGACACCGTCTGGAAGTGCCTGGGCTGCTACTGCTGTTGCTGTTGTTTGGTGGCGTTTTCTTCAGGGTCTCTTCGCTGCTGGCCACTGTTGAGAACGATTCCGAAAGCAGCGGTGAAAAGAATTACTTTAACCCCCCCCCCAAAAAAAATGAAATGTAGCGGTAATGACAGTCCCGAGGTTCGGACGTTGAATTTAAAATAACAACAAAAACCACACACACACACACAAGCCCCAGTCTTCGGCAAGCAGATGCCGTGAAATATCCGCTTGGCGAGCAACGTTAATGCATAACGACAATGTGGATGATACGCGTTGTTCAGTGGGTGTTGTACGGGGAAGGGCAGGCAAGCGCTGGGCCCACACACACGCAGCTGCTGCTGCTGCTGACGCCCGCGTTGGCTGTCAGTGGCGCTGTGCGTGGCGAGGAAGCGCTCCTCTTTATACGAGGACCCCCCCACCCTCACCCCCCCACCACACCCCCACCCTCACCCCCCAGCCCCCCACCACACCCCCACCCTCACCCCAGCCCCGCCGCAAAGTGCTGACGTCACACGTCGCCCAACCCCGCTTCAGCCACACGGCCCCCACCCCCTCCACCCCGAGCCGGCGCGAGCGCGCCCCCCCCGCACGCTTCCGATGGGAGAATTACCTCCGGCGACAAAATCCCAGCAAAGGTGCCATCGCGCTTCTAGGTCGACTCAGCCTCAAATGAGGAGTGTAACTGCTGCTGCTTCTGCTGCTGCTGCTTCTGCTGCTTCTGCTGCTGCTGCTGCTTCTGCTGCTGCTGCTGCTTATGCTGCTTCTGCTGCTGCTGCTGCTTCTGCTGCTGCTTCTGCTGCTGCTGCTGCTTCTGCTGCTGCTGCTGCTTCTGCTGCTTCTGCTGCTGCTGCTGCTTATGCTGCTTCTGCTGCTGCTGCTGCTTCTGCTGCTGCTGCTGCTTCTGCTGCTTCTGCTGCTTATGCTGCTTCTGATGCTTCTGCTGCTGCTGCTTCTGCTGCTGCTGCTTCTGCTGCTGCTGCTTATGCTGCTTCTGTTGCTGCTTATGCTGCTTCTGCTGCTGCTACTACTGCTGCTGCTGCTGCAGCTGCACTACACAAAGAATAAGTGTGCAGCAGTAGCAGCAACTGCAGCAGCAGCAGGAGCAAGAAGCAGCAGCACCTGCAAGCTGTACACGAATAATAATTGTGCAGCAGCAGGATCAAGCAGCAGCGTTGAAATCTCGTTGTCCGGGATGATCTCCCACAAAGAGACTTATCCAGACTCTCCGGCTCAAAAACAACGTGTGTGTGAGTGGCAACGGCGTCGTGCCCGATAGCGATAACCCCTATCACGGTCAACCACAGCACTGACGATTACCTGAACCGCTTCTAGGTCGACTCAGCCTCAAATGAGGAGTGTGACTGGTGCGGTGCGTAAACATCGCCACTAGGGAGACAAAGGCGGCCGGGCGTGGTGCTGGCCGCCCAACCCTTCGCGTGCCGTGCCGGCCTTCATAGGTGCTCGCTAACTACACTTGCCCCATAAGTATGTTTTGTTTAAAGGGGGGATATTTGTATAGGCATACGACAGTTTCCGATTTGGTGAAATAAGCACAGTAGTACTAAAATCAAACCAAGAGCTTGGACATAGTCCTCAATAATTTGGGAATGTGAACACTCCCATAACCCATTAGTACCACCAAATCAACAAGAGTTGTTGAGAAAATGTGGCCGAACCAACAGGCGGCAGTGAAGCAAAGACACAACTTCGGTGTGTACTCGCCTCGTCATTAATTAGGACTCGTCGATTCACTGCAGTCCACTTGTTATTGTAAAGACCAGACGTTTCGATTTAAATCTTTCGTGACTGCATGCAGGGATTCATCTTCTTGGTTCTTTCGATAAAGTCACGTAGAAGGGAAATAATAAAATAATAAAAATAAAATATAATAAAATACAATTCTCACGACGTTTCGGCCACAACGCAAGCAAGAAGAACAGGGCTGTCGGAAAGACAGCGTCTGAATGACGCTGTCTTTCCGACAGCCCTGTTCTTCACCTGAGGACGGCTGCTTGCGTTGTGGCCGAAACTTCGTGAGAATTGTGTGGAATTTTCTTCCTCCTCGGTCCATTGCGGGAGTCCGCGGTGTCTAACTCGTAGCGGGCTTTCGGGTCCGATATTATTCATAATCAAGGTTTTTGGATTCGATCGCGTAAGTGTAAACGTGTCGTAACCCTCCACCACCCGACACAGCAAATTAGCGAGGTTTGTCACGTAAACAGAACGTGCCAATTCGTTACTACTTCAGCCCACCGGTGTGTTGGAGAGTAAATCCACAAGATTTACAATTTGAGTACTGAAGTAGTCACTAATTGGCGTTTCGTTTACCTGACAAATCCCTTAGTAATTGGCTGTGTCGGGTGGTGGAGGGTTACGACACATTTATACTTACGCGATCTAACCCAAAAACCTTTATTCTGAGTCCGAGTCTGTTACAATTTTTAAAAATTCTCGTCTTCAAACTCGCCTGTCTTCACAACAGGCTTTCTCCATAACTCACACTCTATGTGAAACCCTCTGAGGCCTTGTGCAAATTGTGCTATCGAAAACCGAGCTGTTTATGATTATTATATTAAAATGTTCGCTGCTGCCACTATGCCTGTGGGAGAGCCCCTTATATGGAGATGGCTTGTTACCTTAACACGATGGGGACCCATTAGCACTTGCCTGAAGGACACGATAATTCAAATCTGTAAATGTTTCCGTTGTCATGTGTTTACAGATTCGAATTATTGCCATTGCTGCTGATGATGCTGCTGTTGTGTTAATCATGGTGATGATTTATCATTTACGAATTGAAGGTGATGATGGTGTGTTGATAATAATTTGTGAATTGCCGCTTGATATAAATCACTGTCATTACTGTACTGACGATTCGTTAGTTATGACAACAAATGAAGATAATGACGATATTTATAAGTCATTAATGGTAATGTTTGAGTATGATGATGATGATGATTATTGATAATTGAAGAAAATATAGATCATGATTAATTTCAATTGAGGATCATGTGTTAATGATTTGTAAATTACCGGGACATATTTCCATTGCGCTTCCTGATGATCATAATAGTGTCCGATGATGCATTCATGCATCAACGATAGTTGATGCATGAACAATACACTCATGATGGTGATGCATTGTTGATGATGCGTAAATGACCGCGAGAAAGTTATGTTTGCTGCTGCTGCTGGTGATAATGATGAATCAGTGTTGAAAATGATTATGCATTTATGATGAATTAATGATGATGATTACGTGTGAATTACCCACAAGACGTATTTGTATTGCTGCTAATGATGTTGGAAATGATACATTGGTGCCAATGATGACGCATTGGTGATGATTTAATAATGATCATTATATTTGGTAGTAGGACCGTTTATATATAGCACTAGCCTTTTGCCCGTCCAAGGACGGGTGTATTGCAGTAAATCTGAAACTTGCAAGCGAAAAGCAGAACGCGAAGTGATATTCATTGCATCAATTCGTGTGCAATTTGTAAGGGCGCGGTGACACATACTTATTTCATTTAAAGGTTATAATCCCTTGTTCATCATGACGTCCTTTTTACTTCTATGTATCAACAGCGTTACGGAGATCGCGTGACGTGAGGGTTCTGCCTTTGTAGTGGGGGTTGTGAGTTGACGCCGAGGAGGGGGGAGGAGGCGCCTCGCCCCCCCCCCATGTGGAGTGACGTCACCCGCTAATTATGATTAATGGAGGGGGGGGGTCCATTTGGAGGACGTCAGCTGTTCATGATTATTGAGGGGGGCTGCTCGACGGGGAGTGACGTCACGCGCGGGACACACAGACATGCCTTGGCTCATTATAGTAGTAAATTGCTACGACTACTGCTGATCATTATGATGCAATGATGCTAATGTTCATGATGATGGATGCCGATGACAGATGGCTATAACGATTGCCCACGTGTCCATTGCAAAGTATCACATATATAGTAATCGGTTTCAACGTGTCATCGATACCCGGGGCGATTATTAATGTATCATGTTCTCTGTACACGATGACTAATATAAATGTACTGTATAGTGTAGTTTGTAAAAAAAAACAAATCAATTTGCAATATAGATCTGTGTAGTCACTTGTCACGCACAAAACGCTCTTTGTGTTATGGAAGACTGCCCGGGTAGACCAAGCTGTTCTCGGGATGAGCTGCGAGGGAGTTAGCAGATGGAAACACAACAATGAAGTCTTGACTCTATCCGTGCGGAGCTTTGAGTCCTACCCCCTCAAATATGTGGTGAGGGTTTTTTTGTTTGTTCCGGGCACTCAAATGTCGCCAAACATCCTCATTTAGGACCGTGTTTAAATAGTCCCGGGACTCAAGCGTTGGCTTTGCTGGTTAAACTGCCACTATTAAAATAATAATTGACATTATTGTTGTTGACAAAATAACATAAATTGCGTTCCATTTAAACACTTGGTGATGTAGACAACACTGCGTAACACCAGTGGCACACACGATGGATTGCCCATTCTTTCGAAGGACGACGTCACGTGGGTTCTCACCTGGTTAAATAAAGGATTGGCAGAAGCGGAATGAATGAAGAGTGAATGAACGGTTGTGACGTTGACCATGTTTTGTGCACGTGCAGTACACACCTGAATGTGCAGTGGGTCTCATGCGGATGTGAGCTTTGTGTGTGCGTGTGTGCAGATGTACCCTGTGTGTTTGCGAGCACCTATTAAGGCCGGAACGTTGCTTAGCTAACAGCACTTATCCCCAAGTCTAACCTGTTAAAGGCTACACCGGGATGTTAGTCTTTGTACGTCATTGTTAACTAGTTAGTGACAACCAAAAATGGTCAGTATGAAGCCGACTTTGCTCAGGATTCAATCGACAAATGGTCAGTAAAAAAAGTGGTAACCATAGCAGCTATGTATCCAACTCGGTAACTGTTGTAGCTGTTGCTCTGTATCCTGTAACACTATGCCATATACTTACGTGAATACATGACAGAGCTCGATGGTCAGTGGTTAACCTTTCCTTAAAATAGGCCCTGCCCGAGTGTGAGTGGCTGTGTGGATAAACCTGCAAGTAATGAGGATCGGTGCGAGTGGTTAGCGCAAATGCACTACAAATCCGGTGACCTGGGTTCGACTCGTGGCCACAGCTAACATCGGCGATGGGTTATATATATGAACGAGTCCTCGGCCACCCTTAGGTCGACTCAGCCTTAAATGAGTTCCTGCGCAGATATGTAAATATTAGCACCAAGGAGACACATGGGGCCAAGAGTTGGGTCCACACCACCCCCATCGTGCCCCGTGCAGGCTTTGATCAGTGCTCGCTAAAAGCACCTGCCCCAATACAGAAAGTAGTCATCTCTGGGACC